GTCCCACCATGCTGGGTTTATGCAGTGCTAAGGGTAGAACCCAGGGCCTTGTTTATGTAAGACAAGCACCCTACCCACTAAGCTAGAGCCCCAGCTTCCTCCTGGCTCAGGATTAAAGATTCTGTTCTCTGCAATTGTTCATAATAAGGATGTGACATGAAGACAGCCACCCTTAGTGCTGAGTAACTCCTAGGCTCGATGACAATCATTTGTTAACTGTTTTAACAAGGGCTGCCTGGTTTCAGGCTGGGTACACTCACCCCAACCTCTGGGTGAGGAACTTCCCTGGGCAGAAGAAGAGAGTTAGGGAGACATTCAAACAGAGGCAGGACCCATCTGTCTGCCTGTGCCTTGCAGTGACTGAGGACTTAACCCTGGGTTTTGGTATCAAGTGACTGCATTCATAGCCCGGCTCTGCCCCTCCCTGTACTGAGTCCCCGGAACAGCTGGCTCCCTACTTGTGTGTGAAACTCATTTCATCCAGCCCCAGAGTGGACACAGCTGTTTGGGGGCTGCCTGGACCAGGAGAGTATGTTTATCACAGAGCTGTGGCCCAGGGCGTGACAATAAGTTTGCCTGGGCCAGACAATAGCCTCTCCTTCCATCACTGGCCTGGCCAGTTCTAGGTAGCGCTCCTGCCAGTGGACAGGACTGCTGCCTGCTGGGAAGATTCTTAAGGAGCCCCAGCTCCAGGAAGTTCCTCCCCACCAAGAATGGGGACATCCCCTCTTATGCCTGGGGTAGGGCTCAGAGACATGGGCAGCTGTTCCCTTGGGGGGAGCTAGAAGTGACAGTTTCTCTCACATGACTCCCAAGGACTGGAGCAGATGGTAGAGTGGATGTTCCCCAGCAGGGCTGACAGCCTTGCTGCCTGGGAATGCCCTCCAGTTCCAGGGAATTCCATCCAGATGTTCTCACCCACAGGCTGGCTGAGCAGTGGGAGAGCTAAGGAGCCAGGGCGGGAAAGCTGAGCCAGCGTTATTCACAGTCAAGAAAATCAGTCTCATAAGCCAGTCCAAAGTCCCTAGAGTCTCCAAGTCTCCCACCCCGCCACTACCAACACCACCCCAGAGCATCACTGTTAGCTGGCTGTTCCTTTGGATACATCATTGCTGCCTCAGGGAGCTCTCTCTTAGATCTTCGTCGCTCCCAGGAGGGACAAGACATAAAACTCTTGCCATTTAAGCTGTGGCCCAGCAGCACTGGGCATCACTCCTTGGAACCTCAATTCTATGGAGTGAGAATCTATATTGTGGCAAGACGCTGTTACGATTCTGTCTAAACTGGTGTAGTGTGGGCAAGCACTTTTATCCGCTGTCCCTCTAGGCTGCAAGCCCCACTGTGGGCCCAGTGTTTGTCTTGTTCTCTGTGGATCTCAGAGCTCCCAAGACAGAACTCATTAAAGGCGTTAGGAGGGGCTGAGGATGTAGCTCACTTGATAGAGAGCTTACATGAAGCTCTAGGTTAAATCTCCAGCATTGCTACACGATACCTTACAGAGAAACAGATGGACAGACAAACAGACTCTTATTCTGCTAGAGCTAGGGAACTTCACATGTCCTTGTTCCTTATTGGACACTTAGCTGCTTATAGTATTTTCTTTGTTTAAAAATTACATTTTAAAGTGCAGGCGTGGAGTGTGCCCATGCGATGTGCATGTGTTCACCCAAACATGTACACATGTGTGTGCATGTGCACATGAGGGTCAGAGGACAACTTGCAAGACTTGTTTTTATTTTTTCTTTCACCATGCAGATCCCAGGAGTTAAACTCAGGTCCTTAGGCTTAGCAGCAAGCACCCTTACCTACTGAGCCATCTTGCTGGCCCTACCAAGCCTTTTCTTTGAAAGCTGAGTTGCTGCCTGGAAGGCTCTGGTTTGGGCTTGGAGCCCAATGAGCTTTCGTTCACTTTGATGACTAGCAGAGAATATCCTCATGGGGTCACCGAGAGCCCGAGACTTCAAGGAATTCTTTCTGACTCCTCACCCATGTGCGCTAAGCCCTCCTTCACCTTGGTAGGAGCTAGGAGATCCTAGCTCCTGGAAGGGGTTCAGATCTTCGGTAGAACTCGCCAACACATCCTTTCCATCCCATCCTGACCTCACCCCCTGCCCACAGCATCGTCTGCCCACATTCCTTAGCCATGTTTGCTTTGAACAGGTCTTTACAGGAGACTGTGATGGTCCCCCTCTTTGCCGCACCCCACCCCCACCCACCCCATCCTCAGGACTGGTTCAGGGCTCTGTCCCCAGGTCCATCCTCGGCACACAGGGACCAAATGAACCCCGCTTGCTTACTATACCTGCATCAGCACCCTTCTCCACCAGTACCTGCAGAGAGACATGTGGGAGGCGGGAGGCGGACCTCCAGGAACTTGTTAATAAAAGCCGAGTGCCCACGCTTGCAGTGTGTCACTTTAAATAACATCTGAGTGGGTCTGTTTGCTTACCTCTCTGACCCCTACTAAGTGCCACAAATGCCAGGCAGCAAAGTAGGCTTGGGATGTGGAGACAGCATTAGAAGCCCACTGAATCAGGCCCCCTGACAGCATCACCTAAGCCTACCCACATTGTTCTCATCCCTGACTGGCAGTGAAGGAGTTTTATGCCCTGAGATGCTCTCACTCCAAGGGTGGGCTGAACACTACCCAGGCCACCTTCTTTGGAGAGAGAGGCTCTGGCAAGGGCTAGGGAAAGCTCCATGCCACCTAGGCTGGGCCTAGGTCAAGGGTCAAGGACTCTTTATGTCAAAGCAGGAGGGGGTCTGTGAAAGCATCCTTAGAGAACTTGCTTCGTTTTAAGACAAGTCCTCACATAGCCCAGGCTAGCCCAAACTTATTACTATGTGGCCAAGGATAGCCTTGACCATCTTGATCATCCTTCTTCTACCTCCCAACTATTGGGATTATAGGCGTGTACCATCACACCTAGTTTTGTGTGGTTCTAGGGACAGAACCCTAGGGCTTCATGCACGGCAGGCAAGTATTCTACCAACTGAGCTACACTCAGCCAAGAGCTTTAAAAATGTTGAAGGTGACCTTGAACTTCAAGGTTCAAGGTCACCTAGGTCCTTGTGCCTCCATCTCCTTAAGTGCTGGGATTACAGGCATGCACCACCACCCCTGGTTCTAAGCAGTGCTGGGATTTGAACCTTCCTGCATGCTATGCAAGCATGCTACTAACCCAACTACTTCCCAGTGATTCCTCACCACCCCCTAAGGACTTTCAGCCCAGGACTGTTCCTCCAGCCAGCAAAGGAGCCGACATAACCCGCTTCTCTGTGGGGTGGGGAGCACAGGCCAGGCAGAGGACAGAGAATGCCAAGGCACTCTGCCTGCAGGCGGCTGACCTGGTGGGGCTCTAACAGCAGAGGAAACACCAGTTTCTGGGGTTGGGGTGCGGTGAAGAAGAAGCCAAAGAAGAAGATGATGTTGAAGGACCTGGAGTGGTCCCATCTGGAGAGCAGACGGCACTTGGCCCTCGGTCTCCAGTCTCTAAAATCCATCACTGAGCTGCTGTTGTCCTCTCAGGGCATTGAACAAGGAGAGGAGGACTTACAGCAGAAAGGTGTGTGGTCAGATAGCAGGCAGAACTTCCACCTCAGAGAAAGTACATTCTGGGACAAGCCAAGGAAAGGAGGAGTGGGATTCCTTGGGGGCAGAATTACAAAGCTAGGAGGGCAAGATATTCTTCACTCCACCTTGGACTGGAGTGGTGAGATGGGAGAGGGGACAGGACTCTGCTCAGCAGGTGCTCAGAACAACACCCTGTCTGATCCCCTGCTTCCTGCTCTTCTTCCAGAAGAGTCTCTAGCACTGCTAAGTGACCTTGGGTCAGAGGTCATGAGCAGTCCTTAGCATCTCAATCACCCCGGAGGTGAGGTAGGGGATTAGGGTTAGTCCTGTGAAGCAGGCCTCATCTCAGATGAGGAAACTGCCATTTGGCTCCTTGAGGACCAGAGTGACTTGTGCCCTGGGCTTCTGAGATGCCTCGCCCTAGAGGAGCCATCCCAGAGGTTCCTCACAGCCCCCAGAGACAAGGGCCTGAGGGCTTCTGCAGCATGAACCAGCCCCCTGAAAAGGTCGTGCTTCCCAGCACATGACAGGGCTTACCTAGAGGGCATCCCCAGGGACAGACTAGGCGGGGTTGGCTTTGCTGAGATGTCACATGTCACATGCTTTGAAGGATTCCACCTTTGGCCTATGTCTCCTTGACACTCTGCGACATACCCTGCAGTCTTGTGTTGCATTGGGCAGCAAATTATGTAACCTCTCCTGACTGCGCAAAGTCCTGGACCCTCCGGTGAAGGGTGGAGGTGACTACCTGGGGTCTCCTCTGATAGCTAGTTCTTTCCCTGTGACAGGAATTCTGCTGACTTCTTCCCAACCACAGGAAGATGTTACACCCCTGCAATCCCAACACTCAGGAGGCCGAGACAACCTGGGCTACATATTGAGACCCTGTCTCAAAAAAGCCAAATTAGGTATGGGGTACTCAGTCCATGGTTACCTAGCACCACAGGGCATGGTTGTGAGTCCAAACATAACAAAACACAGGTAGCACACATCTAGAATCCCAGCACTAAAGACGTAGAGGCAGAAGGATCAGGACTTCAAGTCTAGCCTCAGCTATATAGCAAATTCAAGGCCAGCCTGGGCTACTTGAGATTCTCCGTAAAAAACAAAAAGGAGTTGGGCATGCCAGCAAACACCTTTAACTCTAGGATCCAAGAGGCAGAGGCAGGGAAATCAACAGGGAGTTGGAGGCTAGCCTGGTCTATGTAGCAAGTTCCAGGAAAGCCAACGATACATAGTAGGACCCTGTCTCAAACAAAACCAAGCAAAAATCAACCAAATCAAAACAAAACAAAAAATAGAACAAAAAAACCCTGAAAAAAAATAAAACAAAACACACTCCTGTTTCCCATGAACATGAAACGCGTTATGTCAGCTTCGAAAATGGGTTTCTCACATCTTTTCTTTCTCTGTTTCCTTCCCGCAGGCTGTGATGGACCAGAGAGGGCCAGGCAGCAGGAAGCTCCCTCTGGGCCCAGAGGTGCTGACTCACCCCTAGGCATCCTCACAGCCTCATTTCTCACTGACACTCTGGGCTTACAGCCAGAGCTAGCCCATCTGTCCTGCACAGGGCGAAATAGGCACAACTTCGCTGTGGAACAATTTTAGCATCAGGCTAAGTGGATGGTGCACAGGGCGATGGCTGACCAGGCGGAAAGCTACATGGTAGATAAAAGGAATGACCTAGTTAGAGCTCAGATACGCAACGTCGAGTTTAAAGGAATCTTATTGGGTTAGGTCACCTAGTACAAGTACTTGCCACACAAGCTTAAGAGTCTGAGTTCAGCACATGGAACCCTTGTTTTAAAAAAAAAAAATGGGTATATTACAAGCCTCAAGCTTGTAATCCTAGGTGGGGAGACAGAGACAGTTGAATCCCTGGGGCTCACCAGCCAAACAGCCAAGCCTCATGAGTTAGGCCATGTCTTAAAAAGTAAGATGACAGTTTCTGAGGAATGACATCTGAGGTTGTCCTCTGGCCTCTATAGGCATTCACACACAGGCATACCTACACACAAATGTGTGCATACACATTCGAATAAAATACAGCATAAGTGAAGGAAGTGTTTTTCTTAGGGATAACTGTTTTTTTTGTGTGACATCAGCCACACACATGCACACAAAACATTCATACTGTATTATAAATGTTCCATGGTACTTTTTTGGCATGTGAAAGACATTTTAACTGTGGAAGCATCACACACTTTTATATAATACTCACCTCATAAATTCAGGTGGAGCGTAGGCGGTTATCCGTGACCATCCTACAATTTAAGATGCAGAACACTTGGGCGGTTTTATTTTAAGCCCCGATGTTTCTACTCTAGGGCAGCATGGTCTCTTCCTTTCTAGGGTCCCCGCAGCACCAGTACCTCCACTGACTGTATGACACACTGCAGGTGACAGAGCACAGCCACCTCCCTCATCTGACGGTGACCGCCACAGTAGCGCTGGGAAGGCGGGGCAGATGTAACTGCTGTTCCCGTTTCTCAGAGGAGGTGACTGTGTCAGAAAAGTCCAGAGATGAGTCCAAAGACACAAAGGAAGTGGCAGTCTGGGACCCTTGTCCTCCAACCCTAGTCTAATGCAATGACTGGCCAGATGTCCAGATTTATTTAAGGTATACAGGACTTAGGGTGTTTACAGTAGCTGCTCTCAGACCCTTTTGGAGGAGCCTCCCGATAGCAACGGGATGTGCTAAGCTTCTGAACGGAGGGTACTGATGCCTTTATCCACCTCACACCCTAAACACAGCCGCCCAAACAGACTTCCGTCTCCAGGCATCCAGTCCCAGCTTTGTCTGGAAGGAAAGCTTCAGGTTCCCTCACAAGGTGAGCCTTAATTGGTCCCCCACCCTAAACCACTACTCTCATTGCCTTAGCCGAAGTCAGTTCCCCATCTCTAGCTCCTTCCAGTGTTCTGGAATGGCCTCGATTTCCTCCTGAGGCTACCCAGGCTTGGGTTGTCAACAGCACCTCTGCCACATCAGAACTGGCCTAAGCTTGTTATATACCCAGCTGTCAGTATCCTGGGTCCAGAGATGCTAGACTCTCGGGCCTTAGCCTTCTGCTATATGTGCAGTTGCATGAGCACGTGTGTACTTGTGAGTGCGGAGCCCAGAGGTCAGCATTGGGCATCTTCCTTGATCACTCTCATCCACTTTTAAGATTTATTTATTTTATGCGTAAGAGTGGTCTTGCCTAGTTCCATGTCTGTGCACCACATGTGTGAGCCCTTCGAGGCCAGGAGAGGGTGTTGGATCCCCTGGAACTGTGGCTGCTGGCTGGTGTGAGCTTTTATATGAGCGCTGGGACTCAAACACAGGGCCCCTGGAAGAGCAGCCAGTGCTCTTAACCATTGAACTACCTCTCCAGCTCCTCTACCTTACTCTTTAAGATAGGGTCTCTCCCTGAATCTGGAGTGCCATGATTTGGCTAGGCTAGCTGGCCTCCAAGGCTCAGGCATCCTTTTGCCTATGTCTCCCGGTGCTAGGATTACAGATGTACACTAGGTACGATGTACAGATGTACAGATGACATGCCCAACCTCACATGTGGGTGCTGGAGAAGGATCTGGGATTCTTGTGCTTGAGCAGCAAGCACTTTATTGACTGAATATCCCCCACAGCCTCGGAAATCTAGTTTCTAAAACAAATCCCACTTAACGCTGACATTGAATGTAATTTGAAGAAATGCCATTTGCTCTAGGCCTTTAAGTCAGAACCCTGGTAAACCAAAACCCCCAAAGGCTGTCTCTTGCCCAAGGTCACATAGCCAACGGACTGAAAGCAAATATTGGGAGGTCCCTGGTCCTCTGGTGACACCTCTCCTCACCTCTCACACTTGCAAATACACACAACAGATGTGCACATCACACCTTGCTCATGTACCCCTCATGTTTGGGGAGACTCTTTTTTTGTTTGTCTGATTTTCAGCTCTAGGGATCAAAACCCAGTGCTTTGAGAAGGCTGTGCAAGTGTTTTGCCATTGAACTAGAGCCCCAGCCTGTGACATAGGGTTTCATGGAACCCAGACTGGCCTCAAACTCAATATGCATCAGAGGCCGGTCTCAAACTCCTGGTTCTCCAGCTCCACCTCCCAAGTGCTGAGATTGTAGGTATGTCCCACCACGTCCACCTCACATACTTCACACGTGCAGGCTTCTGTCTTGGGGTCTGGCTTAAATATTGTCCTATTACTTCTAGGCTATAGAACCTAATGTCCAGAGAGGTCCCTGTGGACTGGTGGGAACTGTCACCCTGTGGGAACTGGTCCCGATGTGATTCTGTTATCCATCCAGGCTCAGGTCATACACCAGGCAGTGGTGAAATATGAGCTGCCCTCCCTGTCCCTGACTGTCTCAGGAGGCCCAGGGGCCTAGCCATTCAGCCACCTTCCCCAGGACTCAGGTGTCACACAGCTGGGCACCATGCCAGGCGTCTGGTTCTCAGGCCAACCTCTCTGCTCTGGGGTCTGATCCCAGGAGACTAGAGTCCCCTCTGCTGGAAACAACTGGAATTCTCAAGAGGGATCGGGAGGACACCGAGGCTGCAGGCTGATTCTATCCCATGTCTGACAAGCTCAGAACAAATGGGTCGGGCCTCTTAGGTCCTACCACTCTGGGCTGCCACCACCTATGCCCCTCTCAGTCAGCCCTGTGTCCCCAACCTTGTTTCTGGGTCTCATTCTCCTTCATACACTTACAGTAGCCCTCCTTAAAAAAAATCCATGGGCCTGGAGGCTGGGGATGGAGTTCAGTTGGTAGAGGGCTTGCCTACCATGCATAAAGTCCTGGGTTCCATCCCTAGCACCACATAAACCAGGCATGGTGGTGCAAGCCTAGAATCCTAGCACTTGGAGGTGGAGGCAGGCATGTCAGAAGTTCAAGGTCCTCCTCAGTTGCTTAGTGAGCTTGAGGCTGGTGAGCAAAAACAACAAAACCCCCAAACTAAACAACTAACTACCACTAACAATGAAAACAACCATAGACCTGCCACTCAGAAACAGAGTGTCCTGGCATCCTGAAACATAGCTTTAGTGCCAGCACTCAAGAGGCAGAGGTAGGCAGATCTCTGAGTTCAAGGCCAGCCTGGTCCACATAGTGAGGTCCTGCCTTCAAACAAACAAACAAACAAACAAACAAACAAACAAAACCAATGAAACAGCAAACAAAATGCAGTGAATCAACATGAGTTACAGAAGAGGATATAAAGCCAACTACAAATTTTTCGTGACAGAGCAGGGATAGTACATAAAATACGTGCAATAGTCAAAGTGTAAAATCCAGTGTGACATTACACAGTCTCCATTCTAAATGGCTATTTTAACTCTAGAGAAGTTCATTGAAATGTATAGACTTTGGGTTGTATTAATTTTGGTGTATGAAGTTTTTCATTTACAAGTTTTGCTGTAGAATATCTTTCTGTATGCTGTGAATATGTGTTGCTCTGATTGGTTGATAAATAAAGCCAGTGGTGAGGCAGAATAAGGTTAGGCAGCACATTTGAACAGGAGAAAGAGGAGAAGAAAGGGGAGTGGGGCAGACAGACGCTACTACCTACCGCCAGGAGAAGCAAGATGTGAAAGTACTGGTAAGCCATGAAGTCACATGGCATATATTAATAGAAATGGGCTGAGATAAGTTGTAAGAGCTAGCTAGCAAGAAGCCTGAGCCAATAGGCCATAGAATTGGAAATTAATATAAGCCTCTGTGTAATTATTTTATAAGCAGCTGCGGGACTCGGCGAGACACAGGAAAACTTCCATCTACAAAATTTTATGTAAAAAGTTTATATATATAATAAAGTATGTATATGTAATAAAGTACACACACACACACACACACACACATTCACACATATTAGATAAGGTCTCACTATGTAGACCAGACTGGCCTTGAACTCACAAAGATCCACCTGCCTCTGCCTCCCAAGTGCTGGAATCAAAGTGTGCGCCTCCACACCTAAGCTTATAACATTTAAAACAAACAACAAAACCCAAGAGTGTAGTGCAGTTAGGAAATGGAAGACACGAAGAAGTAGTTAGCTGAAGAAGGCATGGAAGACAGCCCAGCACCTGCCGGCAAGGGGCCGGAGCCCCTGGGTCACTCACCTGTCGCTGGTGGAATGTGGTCAGTGCTGCCTCTGTGGAAGGCAAGCGGGCAGTTTCTCCACAAACTAAACAATGACTGCACGACCTAGTGAGTGCCCTTCTGGGTACTGATCCCACAGAAATGAAGGCGACAGTCACTTAAATGACGTATGCTGGGCTGGAGAGAGGGCTCCACGGGTGGAATAATGACCTAAGTTGCATCCCTATCATCCACAGTGGAAGGAGAGATCGACTCCCTCCAGGTGACCTCTGACCTCCACCTGAGTGCAGGGGCATGCTCATACCCTAAGCATACATATATCACAACACAATGAAACAATAAACAGAAAAAAACGGAAAACTGGATTAAAGGTCTGGAGAGATGGCTCCATGGTTAAGAGCACGTACTGCTCTTGCTGAGGACTCAGGTGTGATTCCAAGCATCCACACAGAAGCTCTCAACGATCTATAACTCTAGTTCCAGGGCACCTACCACCTTCTTCTGGCTTCCATGGGTGCTGCCAGACATACAGGCAAAGCACATGCACATAAAATAAAGATAAATCAATCTTGCAAAAATGTATGTAAATGTGTGTGGCAGCTTCGTTGGTGTCTTCTCAAACTGGAAAACACCCAGGTATCCTCCAGTAGGGGAATGACTGAAAAAATGAACAAACTGCTTTGATTCCACTGTAAATTATTACTTGGCAACAAGAAGAAAAGATCAGCCAGTTCACACAGCAACCTGGGTGAATCTCAGTTATGATGAAGCGCTTTGCGATCAGCACAACTAAAGACATGGGAAATAGACCAATGGTTACAGACAGAGCAGGGTGGGAGAGGGGAGTGGACGTGGTTATCACAGGGCAACACAGAGGTCCCTGCAGTGATGGAAACCTCCCATGTCTTGCCTGTGTCATGGTCCACATCCTGGATAGGAGATGAGAGTTTTCCAAGATGCCCTCCTGGGAAACTGAGTCAAGGGGGGGCGGAGGCTGGGTTCCCTCTGAATGCCTCTTAAAACCGCATGTGAATCTACAATGGCCCCAACATGAATAAGTTTAAATGACATCTGAACTCCATTCTTTCGCATAGGCATGAGTTCAGATCTCCAGGCACGGCAGCAGAGAACAGCAGATCCCTGGAGCTCATTGGCCAGTCAGCATAGCTGAATCAACGAGCCAGTGGGAGACTTTTGTCTCAAAACAAAACAAAACAAAACAAAAACAAAAACAAGGTGGGGCGCCATTGAAGGAGACATTTGATGTTGACATCTGGCTTCCGCATGTATGCACACACACTTGTGCAAGTGCACCAGCACACACACACACACACACACACACACACACACACACACACACACACACACACACAATTTTGGAGGGAAGGCTGCTGATGGTTCAACAGGCTAAAATGAGAATGGCCAAGGCTGACAGCCAGTAGCCTGCACTCACCATGGCCCCAGGAAGTGTGTTAGATTCTTTCTTCCCTCCTCTCACACCCTGAAGCAAGTCACTTAGGGCCTCCCCTTTCCTTTACCTCCCCAAGCTAAGCTAGCTACAGGCCAACTCAATGCCCTGGGGCTGCTCACACAGGGGTGCTGCGGGGAGTGGAAGCAGGACCTGTTATACAAAAGGGGTTCCTCCAAGAGGGAAGCTGCTGGTTCAGCATGCAGAGGCCAGGTGGGAGGTGTGGGGGGCGGGGGCGGGGGTTGGGGGGGATGTTTAAGGCATTTGGGAAAGGCATAGCGTCCCCCTGAACTCTGAAAAGCCAGCAGGGCTGCAAGTTGGCTGTGCTCTCTGGGGTAAGGAACAGAGATACCCAAGCACCAGGGTAGGGAAGAGGAAGTCACAGAATGCAAATGGAAGTTGTGCTTCAAGTTAGATGGGGGACGGTTAGACCAGAGAGAAAGGATGACAGGTAACGGACAGGAATTAACTTGCTCAGAACCGTTCACTCCTTTGTTCCTCCGTAAAGAACTGCTCTTTCCCTTTCTGGCTCTGCGACCCTAATGAGACAGTGATTGGCGTCGGCGAGATCACCTGAGCCGAGCCTGACTAATTGGACCCTTTGGAGTGCTTCCCTGTTTCTGTTGTAACTGGGATGAGAGAGAAGAGTTACCTCGTTTTTTGTATTGTCTGTGTGAAATTGAGAGTTGGAAGCCTGTGACAGACAGCAGCCTCAGACAGACAGCAGTCTGAGAAGGGGGCTGACATGCTGAACCCCAAGGACCTGAAACAAGACAGTGGCCAGGGTGGTCTGGTACCCAGGACAGGCCCCCCACACATCGCACCCTATGGGTGGCTGTATTTGTGGCCATGAAGGAGCTGTACAGGAGTCACAAATGTCCCTCCCCAGGAGCTGGAGCAAAGCCAGGTCTAACGGAGTGCGGGGAGACTGAGTAAGGGATCTGCTCCATTTTGAGGATTCCTGGGCAAAAAGTTCTACCCAACTGATGGGCCCTGGGAAAAAAGGCAATGAACCTCATGATGTAGCTCAGTTGATAAATGGCTTACGTAGAAGAAACAAAATCCTGGGTTCAGTCTCCAGTACTGGATAAACTAGGTACACTGGCACACACCCACAATGCCAGTATGCAGGCGAGGGAGGCAGGAGGATCAGGAGTTCAGTCCTTGGCTATGTAACAGGTTTGAGGCCAGCCTGAGCTACATGACACACTGTCTCAACAGAATAAGGGAGGGGGTAGGATGGAAGTGGTCCTGGAGCTCTGAGGCTGGAGAAGACACCAAAGAATCAATAACCAGGGGCTGTCTTTGTACCTACACTGCACAGGATGGCCTATGCCCAGAGTCAGTATTACTGGCCTATTCTGAAGCAGAGGAAGTCAAAGCTTGCTGTCCAACCCAAGGCAATACAACATAAAAGCAAAGGCTGGGCTGGGTCCCTATCCAGCTCCCAGTTCCAAGTGAGTTTCTTTTGTTACACACCCCTTTCTGCAGCGGAGCGGGGCTTCTGCCTTAGCGAGCCTGGTCTGCTTAAAGACTCCCTTGGGCTCTTCACCATCTCACATAGCTTGGCTGCTCAGACCTTGAAGCCCCAGAGATCTTGGATGCAGAGGCCAGTCTGCAAGCCTTGGTGATTGAGATATAGAGTCAGATGGATATGGGACCATGTCCAGGCTCAATGTGGGACTCTGGGATGGTCATTTAATACCCTCACCTTTCTATTCAAGCTCAATAACCACTCTTGCCTCCTATGGCCATTGTGGGATTGAGGCCAGGAATTCCCGAGAGCGGCTCAGTGCAGAGAGCGAGCATTCCAGCAGACCCCGAGGAGCCCAGGCTGGAGGCTCCCATGACTGTATCAGCCCTCTGACCATCCATCCCTAGTCCCCCAGGCTCTGGTTTTCCCCTGCCTCCCAAGTTCAACCCGCCAGGCCTTTCTTGTCTAAACTCTTCCAAATGTCACCTCTTGTTTTCTTCTCTTTTAATGTTTTGTGTCTTTATCTGGGTGACATTTTTTTCTTGTCTTCCACAGGGACTGTCACAAGAATAGGAGCAAAAATAACTACAGGGCCTCTGGCCAGGCCTCCAAAGAGTGAGAAGATAGTTTGGCTTGAAGACAGTTAGACGGAGTCCCAAGAGGACTTGGGGGGTTGGGGATAAGTATGGGGACCAGGGGCAAGGGATTGACCTGAGGGAACTTCACAGGCAGGTCCAGAGGAAGATCAAGGGGCAGGTCTCCCTCTCCACTCAGGACGTCAAGGATGACGAGCATACAGAAGCCATCCATGGACTCTAAGCTGGCTCAGCGGGTGAAGAAGCCTGCTGCCAAGGCTGAAAACTTGAGTTCAGTCTCCCAGACCCACATGATGGAAGGAGAGAGCCGACTCCCATTAGTTACCATCTGACCTCCACATATATGCTGTGGAACATGAATTTGTACACACACACACACACACACACACACCCACACACACACTAGAATAAAAGTGAGGAAAAAAAGAAGCCATTCACGTAGGAATTTGTAGAAGAGGTTAACAACTTCTATCACCTTCTGAGACTATGTCAGCCAGCTCTAAGCATCCCCTGGCCAGGTGAAGAGAAAGATGGGCCGATCTCTCAGTGATGGGCCTCACCTCAGTTGGGCCCTCCCCAGGCCCAGGCCCCTCATCCTTGCATTACTGTGTGTCCCCTCCTCAGAAGTCTGGTGAGGACGGTTTCCATCCCAGAATCCTCCACGAGCCTGGCACCAACATCATGAAACATCAACAACAGCTCCCATGAGTGCTGGATGAAGTGATAAAATCCCGTTCTTTGGGGAAATGGGGAGTAGGCCCTCCTGAGAGGAGGTGTGAGTCAGCAGCAGATGACTCTGTGTACAAACGTTGCTCCCCACGGTCTTCATCACGCGGTCTCTCTCTGTGGTCCAAACCCTCTGCTGTGTGCCAGAAGACATTCAACTAAGCACAGAAGAGTCACTGGTGGGCGCTAACTGGTCAGACTTTTTTTCCTTCCAGGAATCTGAACTTCTACCCTGAGGTGAGAGGCAACCCTTCCCCACTTGACTGTCCCTGGGAAGGATGCCAGTGGGCACCAAGAACCGTGGCTCCGGAAGCCTCCACCTTGCTTTCCTCAGAAGACCCTTGCTGTTAACTAGAAGTCTCCAGATCCGCCCAGCCCATGGCCCCTGTGTCTTGAGGCAGCTGGGGTTCATTTGTGCTGCTTGCCAGCAAAGGAGACTTCACCACACCTTCCCACGTGGCCTTCCTGGGGTGAGTGGAGCCACGTGCATGCAGGTGTGCCGCCATCACCCAGATGCAGGGGAAGAGTAGGAGCTGGCATTGCGTGGAACCCTGAGAGCCTCCTGCTGCCAGCCTGGGACCTCCCAGGTGGAGCACTGAGTACAGAGTACTGGATGGCCCTTGCCTTGATGCTAATGGGAGGTGGAGCCTTTCAGAGGCGGCAGTCATGAGGAAAGAAGTTTGGGCACTGGGGGTGTGCCCTTGACTATGGCTCTGCACCCCCCCCCCCCCGCCCCCGTCTCCCTCAGCTGCCATGAAGGAAGCAGCTTCCTCTGCTGGGCTCTCCCACCATCTCGCATTCCTCACCACAGGCCCAGAGCAATAGGTCCCAGTGAACCATGAGCAGAAACCTCTGAAACTCCGAGGGAAACAAAACTGTTTCCCTCTCTCCTCTTTTTAGTTGATTATCTTGGGTATTTTATCACAGTGACAGAAAAACAACCAGCATACAGGGTTGTGCCAGTCAGGTGGGTTAGGTTAAGCTGTCTGTCTTAGTCAGTGTTCTATTGCCATGAAGAGACACCACGACCACAGCAACTCTTATAAAAGAAAACATTTAATTGGGGCTGGCTTACAGGTTCAGAGGTTTAATCCACTGTCATCATGGGTACGCAGGCAGACACAGTCCTGGAGAAGGAGCTAAGAGTTCTAAACCTGGATCTACAGGCAGCAGAAAGAGGGGGAGAGGGAGGGAGGGAGGGAGGGAGGGAGGGAGGGAGGGAGGGAGGGAGGGAGAGACACTGGGCCTGGCTTGGGTATTTGAACCCCAAAGCCCACCCCCAGTGACACACTTCCTCCAACAAGGCCACACCTACTCCAACAAAGCCACACCTCCTAAGAGCGCCACCCCGAAATGACCATACATTCAAGTCTATGAGCCTATGGGGCCGTTCCTAGTCAAACCACCACACTGTAGTAATAATCTGTCCTAGTCTACGTGATTCTGATTTGAGGCCATGGTGGGGTCACCAGAAGCTCACTTTCTAGTCATCTTTACGATAAGGTGAGAGAGTGGCCACTTGGGAAATGGCCAGTTGGTTGGTTAGTGGGTTTTGTTGACCATAGGACAGAGGAATGTGGCCCTTAGATCCTCCTTCACAGGAGCCCCAGGACAATGTCTTAGCAATTCCTAATCACCTCTCAGCCCAAATAGCTGAAGACTCTTGTGATGTGAAATTGCACAGGCACCCACTTCTCCTCACCCCCCCGGGGGGGGGGGCTACTCTCAATTTGACATGCTAGAAAACAGACACCCAGGGAAGGACATGCTCCCCCTCCAATGGGAAGCCTGGAATTCGGTCACGTGGCTTAGGGCTTTGTCTTCTGTTACCCTGTGGAGTCTCTGATAAAGGCAACACATTCAAAGTCCCCAGGTGGATTCCCTCAGGAGAGCCGAATTCAGTGAACTCTTCTAGAAGCTGGCCCAACAAAGTTCTTGCCAGGTTCTGGGAAAACCAAGGATGTTGCCAAAGTGAAATGACCTCCAATTAACACCAGATTCTCCTTCCCTCTCCGGTGGTGATTTGTTGGCTGACTCCTGCCAGGATTCTCACACCTTTCTCCAGTCCATCTAGGGAACAGGAAGTTGGCCAAATTCTGGACCTCCCAGGCTAGCATGTGGCCAACTTGTGTATGGCTTAGCACTAAGTTCAGTGATGACATTTTAATCTCTAAGAATTCAACTTGATTTTTTTTTTTACATGCTCAGTGTTCATGGCGATTCAAAGGAGGAAGTCTCCATAGAGATGCTAAAAAGGCTCTGACCTAAACCGGCTCCAGGCTGAGCTCGCTTTGACACGTTGAATGTGATGGTTGAGTGCTCCAGTTGCTTAAGGGAATCTGACAAGCCAGCACAGATTGCGAGGCCAGGGGCAGTCAGGGCAGTGGGGTGTCTAGATGGATCCATGGGCTACGTAGGAGGGCCAGAGTCACAGGGAGAAGCTGAGGAGGGCCAAACAGGAGCAGCAAGGAAAACCTGCCAGAATATTCCCTGAGAAGACACTACGTGGGCAGCTGAGACGGAATAAAGAAGTGTGGTGTAAGTATGGAGAAAGGAGAGAAGACGGGGTGTGGGGGGCTGTGGAACAAAGGGGCAGAAAAAGGGCTTACAAAGACTGAGAGCATCGGGGTGTCAAACTCCACCAGCCACCACACCTGAACAGCTCGCAAGACTTAGAAACCGGATAGAATGCGACAGACACCTGTCCCATGGCGTGCTAAAGCCATAGGAAGGCCAGGGCCGACTCCAAGGGTCCTACGTGAAGGGAGGAGAGAAAGGTAGAAAGTTAAGACTCAAAGGTGCCCCCTAGCCCACCTCCTTCACATAGATCTAGAGCTCTCTCTCTCTGTGTGTGTGTGTGTGTGTGTGTGTGTGTGTGTGTGTGTGTGTGTAAGAGAGAGAGAGGTGTGTGACTGTGGGTGCACGTGTGCCGCTGAACACACGTAGAAGCTGGAGGGTAGCTTTTGAGAGTCAGCTCTCTTTCAAGCATGGATTCAAACTTGGAGGTCGTCAGGCCTGCTCAGAGAGGACTTTCCCCAAAAGTTTTAGAGCTTGCATGAAGACCCAAGCAAGGCGGGACACCAGACACGAGACTTCGGCAGGAAAACCAGATGCAGAGGAGCTAAGGTCACGGTGACAAAGTGGGTCTGTCCGCAGAGAGAACCGGAAGGAGACGTATCTGCCCTGATCTGGGCTTTGTGTGGAAAAGCGCCATCCTTGCCAGAGAACCCAAACCACAGCCTCCTTCCTCAGCTGCTTGGAATTTAAATGAGGGCTGCGGAGGCGATTTGGAATATCAAACAAGAAATTTACCTGAAGTAGGGCCAGGCTAATAGCACCTTGGGGTGAGAATATTAGTCCTTTTTGGAGTAAGGTCATAACCCAGGCCTCACAGGGAGAGAAAAGCCTGGGGTGAGCTTGAGCTCACAACCCACAATCACAGGAGCCAGCAGAAAGGGAACCACCTGGGTAGAAACTAGCGCAGGGACAGACCTACAGTGAGACTAACGGCCGGAAGATGTCAGATGCTAACCAGGTGTTTTCAGACCAGAAGACAAGTCTAGTTAAAGTCCCCCAAACGATGAATGCTTTCTCAAGCTTGAACTTGCGTGAGACTCACGGAAACTTTTTAGGGGTCACAAGTAAAGTTCCTCCCTCTCCCTTCCCTCTTCTTCCTCCCTTTCTTTATTTCTTTCTGCCTCCACCCCTTCTCCTTCCCTGCCTCCCTGTCTCTCTCTGACAGACAGTGTACAAAGGCCAGGAGAATCGGAGATAAAATCTGGGTCTCCTTCCTACAAGAATCACTGTTTGCTTCTTGCTCTCTACTTCACTTGTTTCTCAAATGCATTCGGTGGTGGTGGTGGTGGTGGTGGTGGTGGTGGTGGTGGTGGTGGTGGTGGTGTGTGTGTGTGTGTGTGTGTGTGTTGTGTGTGCACGTGTGCTTGTGCATCTGTGCTTGTGCATCTGTCTGTTGTGTGTGTGTGTGTACTTGTACTCACACATGTAGAGGACAAAGGACAACCTGAACCAGTCAGCTTCACATTGGGGAGTGCATCAATAGGCTAGGTTAGCTGGGCAGTGAGCCTCAGGGTGCCTCCTGCCTTTGCTTCCCCAGATCTGGAAGCACAAGTGTGGGTCACCACTTTTTAAAATTGGATTCTGGGGAGTGACCTCAGGACCTCATGTTCACACAGCAAGCTCTTGGCCAACCTTGCTATCCCCTCAGTCCCTCAAATTGATTGCTGAGGGCTGTTTAGACTGAGGGAGGTTTAGCGTGGGAGGTGGTCGGGGCTAGCATAGGAAAGGAACACAGAGATGCCCACAGTCCCTATCCTGACCATCTGTGCCCCAACTCGTGGAACCTGGAACCTCCATGAGATTTATCCTCTGAGTTTGACATCGGTTGGGAGAAGAAGTGGAAGGAAGAGTGAGGGGGGAGCCTAGGAGAGGGGGGGGGGCATGGGAGAGGAAGGGGGAAGAAACGATAATGAAGAGGCAGATGCCAATTTTTTTAAAAAAAATCACATGAAGAGACTCTCGGGAAAACAGGAACTTCAAAGCTGACATAGTTTTCAAAGCCTGAGAGATTGCTAGAGCCTCACCAAATGTACATCCTGGTGCTTCTTCTGTGATGAAGCTGTCTGAAGGTGCCCGGGATGCAGATGGTCCAGCTGTAGCAGTTAGATCAGCTAGATGTGACCCTTAGCCTGTTCTCTTCAAAAGAAGGTGAGCTAAGAGAGGGGCTGGAACAAATGCTGTGACCTGCATGTTTGGGCCTCACCAAATTTGTGTGTTCTTTTCTAATGTCCAATGCAATATAGATGCACCCCATCTCGTAATGGGGTTACAGCCAGGTAAATCCATGGAAGGTAAAAACATTGTAAGAAGCCTGGCATGGTGATACACGGCTATAACCCCAGCACTCATGAAGCAGGGGCAGAAGGACTGTGAGTTCAAGACCAACCTGGGCTACAAAGAGGATTAAAACCAGCTGTGGTTATGTAGCAAGACCCCATCTCAAAAATACTTAATAATACATACACACACAGATATGTAAATGTAAAGTCAAAAATATAATTGACAACTACCCTGCCCAACATATAGCTTAGTCTAGCCTACCCCATCATCCTCAGAACACCTTCATGAGCCTGCTCTGGGGCAAATCCACGTAGCACAGAACGTAGCTTATAGTAAAATATGGACTGTCTTGGGTACTTTGTTAAGTACTTGCATTTAAAGAAGGCTGGCAAGTCTGCACCATTCTATTGTTTTCCCTTGTGATCACGTGGCTGGCTGGAGCCACATGCAGTCATGGATGACCACATGCTGCTTGCTGCTGCTGTCCGGCACAGCCAGAGTACTGCACCGTGTATCACTAACTGGGGGAAAGATAAAAATGCAAAGTCTATTGAAAATGGTATCAGACCGTTGTAAGTCAGGGGTGTCTATAGTGCAAAGAGATGAGACCTTGGGGAATTAGACTGGGGGCTCTAACTGCACTCACACCTTTCTTTCTTTCTTTCTTTCTTTCTTTCTTCCTTCCTTCCTTCCTTCCTTCTTTCCTTCCTTCCTTCCTTCCTTCCTTCCTTCCTTCCTTCCTTCCTTCCTTCCTTCCTTTCTTTTTCTTTCTTTTTTATATACTTGTCTCACTCTGTAGCTTTGGCTAGCCTGAAATTTGTCTATGCAGACCAGGCTGTCTTCAAACTTACAAGAGATCTGCCTGTCTCTGGGAGAGGACAGCTAGAAAATGGTAACTATGAAATGGAGCAGGATGTCCCAGGCACTGGATCTAGAACCATGAATGGTAAATTTCTACTTTTGCAAATTTCCCAGACTATGGTATTTTGTTATAGTATTAGAGCAGACTAAGAGTACCACTTAGGTGGAGACCATGTCTCCATGGCAACCTAGGATGTGGGTCAACAGAGCCACACAGCAGAAGGAACCTGGGTCTCTGCATGTCTGTGTGAGTAAGACACCCTCACCTGGATTGTTTCTCTCATCAGAGGACAGAGAATCCCACAACTGTCTTTTGAGTCACTGCTGGGGCTCTCAGCTCCAGCAGCCTGGCCTTAACTTGGCTAATATGTCAAGGAGAAAGGCCAGTGGGTCACTCTGCTAGGAACAACTGAAAGAGAGTGCATGCATGATGTAAAAGTCTGCAAAACTCTGACCCAGCCAGAAGTTCATGCAGGGGTCTAACAGGTCCTGCAGGAAAAGCATTATTGTCTCCAAAATCGTGCTACAGACTTGTGGGTTTTCTCTGAGTCTTTTTCTGTGTGTGTGTGTGTGTGTGTGTGTGTGTGTGTGTGTGTGTGTGTGAGAGAGAGAGAGAGAGAGAGAGAGAGAGAGAGAGAGAGAGAGAGAGAGAGAGAGAGTTTAGACAAGGTCTCTCACTGGCCTGGGGCTCACCCATCAGGTTAGGCTGTTTGACCAGCAAACTCTAGGGATTATCTTATCTGTGTTTCCTCAGTGCTGGGATCACAATCACATTTCTGTACTCCACATTTCACATGGATTCTGGGCCTCAAACTCAGGTCCTTATGCTTTTGGGGAAAGTACTTTACTGACTGAGCGTCGCCTCAGCTCTGACTTCTTTTTCCCTTTTTACATTCTTTCAGCACGAATGGAAACTGGACTCCTTGGTGACTCACGTGACAGTTCATCGCCTTCAGGAGATAACTCACGCTTCCAATAGTCCCGAAGCCCAGTTCCCCTCTGAAGAGTTGAGATGGCAAATCTTCAACCAGTGGTCTTCCCGTGACTGAGATGGAGGGGAGGTGGCCTGGCCGTGAGGAGTGCTCTCTCCTCTCCAGGCCTTCCCATCTCTGACCTCTCTCACTGTGAGACTGTGCTGGGACCCGGGGCCCTGCTTGGCAGCTGCTTCCCTTCTACAAATGAGATGTGTGGAAGCATCTAGGAGGCAGACAGCAAGCCCTCTCCATCCATCTGCCCAACAGAAGGCACAGGAATGACCCACAGATTAGCACTGCTGTCAGAGAAACTCCTGTTAGCTTTAGGTGATGGGTAATGCAGCGACTTATAACTAGACGAAGTGCTGAGAATAAGTGGCCATTGAGTGCCCAGCACTCAACAGTATAGCTCAGAGAGTGTCATGGAAGAGGGGAGCTAGAGGCTGGGCAACACTGTCTTCTACACATGAACTCATGACAGCTGTGCGTGCCTGCACAGGACAGGGCCCATCAATGTGCTACCATGCTCCGGGAAGCGGCTCATAAATTTCCACCCCTCTCTGGGAAACTACAGGCAGTTAATGGTTGCGAGGAGAGAGGAAGTCCTGTCGCTCAGTAGTGCACTGGTAAGTTGCCCTTGTTTGTGTAAATGACCCATGCACTCCCATACTACTCACAACCCTAATTAAATTCAGTGTAAACACACATAAATACACAAGACATAAAGGTCTGGAGGGTGAACTGGCTAGTTTTATGTCAATTTTACACAAACTAGAGTTATCTGGAAAGAGGGAACCTCAACCGAGAAAATGCCTCCATAAGATTCAGCTTGCAGGGCATTTTCCTAACTAGTGATTAATGGAGGAGGGGGGCAGCCCATTGTGGGTGGCGCCATCTCTGGGCTGCTGGTCCTGAGTTGTATAAGAAAGTAGACTGAGCAAGCCATGACGAACAAGCCAGTAAGCAGCCCCCCTCCATGGCCTCTGCATCAGCTCCCTCCAGGTTCCTGCCCTGTTTGAGTTTCTGTCCTGACTTCCTTCAGTGATGGACCATGACGTGGGAGTGGAAGCCAAATAAACCCTTTCTTCCCGTGTTGTTCCTGGTCATGGTGTTCATCACAGCGACAGTGACCCTGACTAGGACAGAGGGGGGATGTTGGAGCAGAGGAAAGGTGTGGGGAGGGAGAGGATAATGGGGGAGGGTCGAGGTATATTACATGTACACACATACACAAATGAAATCGTTAAAGAATAAATAAATAACACAAATGAAAACAAAGAAAATCAGAGCAGGCCCATGCTGGAGGGATCTTCAGAGAGTCAAATCTAACCTCTTCCATTGACAGACTGAGAAACTGAGGCTTAGAAAGAGGGAAATTTCCAGAGAAAGAGCTAAATCCTCAGGAAGAACATTTTCTACTAATGCCCACTTTTTCCATACAGATTTGTACCTCTGCTTCCTTCCCCAGATCACAATCACAAATTAAACACACACACACACACACACACACACACACACACACACACACACACACACACATACGCCGGACGGTGGTGGCGCACGCCTTTAATCCCAGCACTCGGGAGGCAGAGCCAGGCGGATCTCTGTGAGTTCGAGGCCAGCCTGGACTACCAAGTGAGTTCCAGGAAAGGCGCAAAGCTACACAGAGAAACCCTGTCTCGAAAAACCAAAAAAAAAAAACAAAAAACAAAAAACAAAAAAAAAAAAAAAACACACACACACACACACACATACATCCCGTCCACTATAACTGAAATAAACAATCCTTCAAGACGCTGGCCCTTAAAAATCAAAGTGTTGTGGATATCAGGAAGGAAATTGATCCCCCACCCAGTCACCTAGCCATCAGGCCTTATGAGGAGGAGGGCAGGATTGGGCCCAGGATGCCAATGTGCCCTATAGCACAGCAGGGATCCCAGACTTAGAAAAAGCCCAGCTGCCAGGAGGAGTGAGCCACATTCCATTGTCAGTAAGATTTATGGGAGGCCATTGACTTGGCCTGAACTCCCAGACTAGACCTCAACAGACAACCCAAGATGGAGTCACTTGAGCTAAGATTCCTCATCTCCAAATGAAAGCTCAGCTATTAACATCTAACATCTGACCTATGAGAAATGAGGGCGTGCAAGCCAGGGCTCCAGGCCAGCCACATGGCAGTAACTCTCAGAAGGAAGGAAACCTGATATCAGCAGTTTTTGTTGTTTTTAGCAACAATGGGGATTGAACCCAGGACCTGCACAGGGGGCAGGGGCAAGCACTTTACCTCAGAGCTAACTCTCCACCCCTATTCATTCATTCATTCATTCATTCATTCTCGAGATAGTCTGACTGTCTATCTCGAGAATCCAGGCTTAAGTCCAGGCTGGCTTAAACACTCTACCACGGAGCTAGCTCCCTACCCTATTTATTTATGTATTATTGAGACAGTCTGACTATACAGTCCAGGCTGGCACCAAGCTTGCCACACCCCTAACCTCAGCCCCTGGAGTAGCTGGGATGAGCAGACTCTACCACCACACCCGGTAAACAACTCTTTTTTTTGCTATTGCTCCACGTCGTTTCTTTGTTTCTGCCAAATGGCCAGCCGAGGCAGGACACTTCCCTGTTCCGCGGACGGAATGCTGCCTAGCTCATGAATTCCTAATAAAAAGGTCAGTCAGGCCATTAAGCTCCATTCGTTGACATTTTGTTGTGCTGCTGGACACCTTGGTAACTTGGGTCACCGTCAGGTGGCTTTGGAATCCTCCAGGCACTCTCTGATTCTTAGTAAGTTATGAGGGAGGGAGAGGGTTTGGGCCTGCTCATCCGAGTTGTAGAGGAAAGAAACAAGTATAGCCATGGGCTGGGCAAGCAGGATCCTGCTTCCAGCTGATGCTCAAACTCTGAACCCAGCCAAGAAAGGGTCATTTTGAGGGTGGAGAGTAATAGGTGTTCCAGCCGGGAAGGTTGGCATTGTGGCTGTGCACTGCAGGCCTGGAGGATGGTGGGCCTTGGGAGGCAGGGTGCTCACACAGAAACTTCTCCCAGGAGAATTCCTTTGCAAGGCTCTGGCTGGGCCAGTAAGGTTTGTGGTGAGAGCCCTTGGGCCCCCTTTCACCCGCATGCTCTCTTGGACCGTTGCGCATGAGCCTCTGGGTCTGCTCCTCCCACCCGCCTTCCCTCTCCAGTGTTCACTGTGTCCCACCTCTGACACTGCCCCGCCCCTCCAGAGCAAAGCTGGAGGCAATGCTGCTGCCTTCTTTGTGTGTGGAGAATCAGGGCATCTAATGAAGCGGAGCTGCGGCGCCTCCTCGACGCGATGCTCATGGCAGACCCAGAGGCATGCCTGCAAACCGGCTCTGCAAGCCCAGCTCTGAGGTCCCTCCATGAGGGTGCATACGGTACCGCTTGGTCACAAGGAAGCCAGTCCAAAAGCCTGCTGGGTGGCTTCCCTGAAGGCAGGGCCCCTGTATTGCAGCAGGGACATGAGATTTTACCTCCAGAGGACCACACAGGCTGTGTGAGGCTAAGACCTCCTAACTTCGATTCCTTTTCTTTTAGCAGAGTCCCTGAGGGCACAGCTCCAGGCCACCCCAATCCCCACCCTAGGCCCCTCAGCCAGTCCCCACCTCTCGTGCACCCTCTTCCCCCCTCACAAGGAACCCTCCCTTCTTGGTTTTTGCTGCTTCATCTGTCAGTCTCCTCCAGAGAGCATTGCCCTTAGTCCCACCTCCCTCACTGCCTGGGGACCTCTTCTTTTCCTTGCTTCCCGGTTCTCTTTCACCTCTCCGTTTTCTCTTGCTTCCTTCCCTGACTTCTTCACCCCTCTGTCCTCCAGAAATCCCTCCATGGTTAAGAAGGAGAGGGAAGGAAGAACCCCGTGAGCCAGCTGGAACCATCCGGCAAGGTCTCACCCTTTCTGATGGACTCTGCATCAGGACCAGAGGTGGCAGTGGTATCCCCTGCTCACCCACACCATCTCTGAAACCGGTTCTTCCTTTCTGGAATGAGTCAGCCTCATTATAAAGCCCAATGCATATAAATACAGCCAAGCAAGAATAAGGAGAAGCATTCTATAAAAAAGAAGAAGAATGGGCTCACACCTACCGATATTAAAAATAGAACACGGCTCTAGTGATTAAGACAACACAAGTAAAAAGACTCATCAGTGGACCAGGGGAAAGAAGAGAATGGAAGTAGAAAGAAACAGCAATCGGGGATGTGTAAAGTTTCTAATCATTGGCTTAAGTGGATTATTTATTAAACTCATTGAATAACTGCTCCCAGAATGCAAAGTTGCTCTGTAGCTCACTTTCGACAAATGTGGAGCCCAAGCAATCTGACTTACACTCTCTGTCTTAGTTTTCTATTGCTGCAATAAAACACCATGAGCAAGGCAACTCACAGAAGGGTTTATTTGGCTTATGGTTCCAGAGGGATAATAGTCCACGATGGCAGAGCCAAGGCAGCGGGTGGTTGGAGCAGCGGGTGGTTGGAGCAACAGCTGACAGGTCACATCTCAAACTGCAAACAGGAAGCAGAGAGAGAGAGAGAGAGAGAGAGAGAGAGAGAGAGAGAGAGAGAGAGAGAGAGAGAGAGAGAGAGAAGGCTGACAACCACAGCCACATGGCTTTTGAAACCTCAAACCCTGCTCCTTGGTGAGAATTCCTCCAGCAAGACCATACTTCCTACACCTCCCCAAACAGTGTCTTCAACTTGGAATTAAGTATTCAAACACCCAAGAATACGGAGGACATCTCATTCAAACCACTATAGTCCATGCCCTGGCCTCCACAGTCTCATGGCCATATCATAAGGCAAAATGCATTTAGCCCAACTTCAAAAATCCCCATAGTCTTTCATAATTTCAACCAACTCCAAAGTCCAAGTCCCTGCTGAGTCTCAAGGCAATCTCTTTACTGTAGCTGCCTATAAAATCAAAAAGCAAATTATGTACTTCTAACATACAATGACACAGAACATGCATTATCATTCCAAAAGGGAGGAATGGGGGATAGCAAGAAAATACTGGACCAAAGCAAGACCAATACCCAGCAGGGCAAACTCCAAATTCTGCAGCTCCACGTTGGATGTCAAAAGCCTTAGATGGCTCTACCCTTCCCACTTAACGTGTTGCCTGCGAGATACATCTCTCTCACGGGCTGGTCCCACTTTCTTGTGCAGCTCTCCTTGGCAGATGTCCCCCAGCTCTGGCACTAACATCTTGGGGTGTCCAATGTAATCCAGGCTTCATTTTCACAGCTTCATGCAATGGCCTCTCTGGTCCTCGGTGCAGGACTTCCCTGCCCACAGGCCTGTCCTCAGTAACTCTCCATAACCACAGGGCGAGGCTCCACGACCCCTTTACTTTTGTGTTCTTCTTAACTCTGAGGCCAGCACCGTGGGGATGACACTGCCAAGCTCATCTCCCAGGCGAGGATGGACCTTGGCCATCCTTGAATCACATTTGAAGCAGCTTTTGTTTGTTCCTTTCTAGGATCAGAATAATCCTTAGACCCTTCCCTTTGACAGGTTGGAGACTTACCTTGGTGGGGTCTTACACTGAGGGCACCCCGCCTTCTTATCCAGTGCAGATTTTGCTCCTTAATGGCATTAATCTGAATAATTACAACCTCTTTTCCAGCACAAGCCCTAGCTGTAACATTAAGCTTGCCAGTGTCCTTTTTCTCTTCAAACGGTACATTTTGTATTTCTTTCTGCCTCCTTTTGCTCTTTTTAATTGAAAATCTGCACAAGAACGATTACTAATAACTATGTGACAGAGTCAATATTAAGCTATCTTGAAATATCTTCCACTGAAGAAATTAGTCCATTACTCTTAAATTTTTCCTCAGGTAAGTTCTTAAGACATGGACAAAAGGCAGCCAAATCCTTTGCCAAAATACCACAATAACAATCTCTAACCCAGTTACTAATATTGCTCCCCTCTGTAACTCTTGAACTAGGCCTCCACAGTCCACGTGGCTCTCAGAACTGCCATGCACGCTTCTGCTAGAATTGCCGATTAAGCCCTGCTTACATCACTCAACTGCTTTTCTTGTCCTAAGACCCAAAGTCTTCCACGTGCCTCTGA